CTGCAATAGATATCCAATAGATATTCTTTACTAGATATACATACATACACACATATATACACACACATATACACACACAATGTATATACAATACATATACATTCCTTTGTGAAACTGTGTAGGTATATAGGCTGGTTAAATTCCAAGTAAAAACATTGCTGGGTTTAAGAATTTATGGAATATTGTATTTACCATTTAATAGATTTTGTCAAATTGCTCTTTGAAAAAAGCTTGCATCAGAATATGTGGCACAACAGAGTGTGGGAGTTCCCATTTCCCCACAAACCAATCAACAATATTATCAAATTTCTATATTTTGACAAACTTCTAGCTGAAACATGTAAGACACAGTTGTTTGGATTTGATTTGCATTTCTTTCAAATTGAGCATCTTTTCATATATTTATCAGTCATTTGTATTTCTTTTCTGAGAACAAATCAGTTCATGTCTTTGGTACATTTTTCTAGTGAGTTATTTTGTTAGTGATTTGTAAATTTTTTAGATTATCACAAATTAGCCATTGGGGTTTGTATTTTGCTTTATTAAAATATTAAATGTGTAATCAACTGAATCTTTTAATTTGATGGAGAATATAAGTTAGTCATGGGCAATCAAGTTCTGAGAAGTCATTATCAAGGTTCTAAAGCACTCTGAGCTCCCTGGCTTACTTCCTAGAGGGGCCTCCCCCACACAGGGGCCCCTTGCAAGGAGAGCTTCCTGCTAGAGTGTCATATTTCAGCATTCAGAGAAAGAGGCTGCTTAAGGGTCTATATTTAGTTTATGACTCCCTAGCTGGGACAGCTGAATGGGAACTAATTTCTACATACTTTGTCCCTGAGTTCTGGGTTTATTCTGAGGGGCTTGTATGGGTGGTGCAGTGAAATTGTCACGTAAGGAAGTGAGTGAAAAGGCTTCTTTCTCCTGGTGACTGCTTGGGATCCTGTAAACTGTGTTTTTTTGTGAAGTGAAAAATGACAAAGATATGAGGGGTATTGCAGTGATTCACAGTCACCCACAGACATTCACCACTATCTTCACTGGAAGGTGCTGAACACGAGCAGCTCCTAGGGCAACATATAGTACATGAACAACAGATCCAGGAGATATCTCACCAATGTCTTGATTACGTGAGCATTCCACTTGCTAAGCCTCATTTCCATCAGTGGGATAACAGTAGGTCCTGTCCAGGGTGTGAGGAGACTGATTTGATCATATGCCTGTGTAAAATCCAAATAAAGCCTCGTAAATGGAAAACAGGTTAATCTGGGAAGTCACCAGTTTTCAGGCACTGGGTTCATCAGGAGTTGGGTCTCTAGTCAATCATCCAGAATTCATCTATGAGGAAGTTCTCAGACACCTGACAAGATCAGCCAGAACCTCAAAAGGTTGTAAATCACTTATGGGAAATTGCCAGGTTTAGAAAGCTGAACATTTTCCCAAGGATTACACATCACACTGAAACCGTGCTGGTTTTGTTTAGGAAATTTTTGTATATAAAATGTTGATAATTACTAATATGTTTTGGAAACTGAAATAGTTTATAGCAGCTAATGTGGCACAAAATAAGGTGAACAAATGATTGTTCTGTTATTTTCACGAACTAAATTTTAAAGTCAAATGAAAATGGCTTGATTGCATTTCCCGATTACAAAAACAATGAATGCAATGATAAAAGGAAAAAAAAAGAACATAAAAAAAAAAGTTAAGTGCCCTTTCTAAATGCATTCTCTGCTTCCTTTCCTGACATCCCTTCCCTAGCCCATTTTGGTGCAGCACGGTACCCCATGGGGACCATTGGTCTTATAGTCTAAGGCACAAAGAGAGGATTCCTCAAAGAAGCAGAGAAAAGGCCCGAACTAAGGCCTGGGAGAGGGTGAGATGCAGACCCTCCCAGGTAAACTGAGAAGGGCAAACCACAATCGCAAGGCGATGAGGCCACTAGTGGGCCTTAAGACTGGAGATGACAGAGCTGAGTGACTGCACTGTGCGCGCTGAGGCCCTGTGCAAAGACGGGTGGATGGGGAGTGGGTGCACCCGGAGGTGGGGGGAAGGATTCTGCAAAACTCCCTGCCATCCGGAAGGGGTGGGGTGGGAGGGGAGAGAGTCTGGTGACGTAGGGCCCTCACGTGACCTGGAGCTGCAGAGCGACGCAGCCTTCGGTGTAGTCATCACTCCTGTCAGGGTACCACCTCCCCTCTGCCCTGCGCCCGGCCGACTGGCACTGGGCCCAAGGAAAACCGGAAAGCCGAGGAGGTAAGGAGCCAGCGTGTCAACGCCGGGCGGGTGGGCTTAGGGCAGCGGCCCATCAACCCTGGTAGCAGGTTCCCGGATACCAAACAAAGCAGGCTCAAGTTCCAGGAACCTTCCCTGTGACTTTCCCAAGTCCCCTCCCCCTGCCTACGTCTGTGCTGGGGAACCTTGGGCTCTGACTGGGAGGATAGTTGGGGGTGGGGAGAGGAAGTGTCTCAAAAAGGAAATGCAGAGATTGAGATGCCCCATCCTGATTCTAATCACTGACCGCACATGTCCGCTCAGCCTCCTGCTCATTTCAGTGGAAGGGACATGCCACTGTGGCATTTACACAGAAAATGGTGGGCCTGGGGACTGGACGGTGGGGTTGGTGGGGATGGCGTCTTGGAATGCGGGCAGGGACATTTGATAACCGAGATCCTGAATCCAGAAAGGTGAGTATTGGTATCTGTGTCCTGGGTCCTGGTCCAAGAACTCAGCGCCTTTCTTCTCTCTTGTCTGATGGACAGTAGTTCGGTGTGGCACTGTTTGTGGCGAGGCAAGGGAAGAAGGAGAGAAGAAAACTGCACGGCATCTGTGGAGGTTAGTGTGAGCATGGGCACTGCCTATGGACGGTTGAAGTTCTGTGTGAATTCTCTATGACAGGAACTTAGGCGCCACTGTCTGCTTGGGATATGGGGTGGGGCTAACTAGGGGACTTTCCCTAAACTGCGTTTACTTACCAAGTTTAGGATTTTTTATTTAAATTGTATATTGAAAACCAATAAAGATAGCAAACTTTTCTATGGATGCTTTAATTTGCACTTCAGATAATATTGAGAAAATGCAAATTGTATCAATGAATATTATTATTATTGTTATGATGATGATGATGATGATGATGTTTTTGAGATAGCCTTTGCCAGGCGGCATAGAGACATTACAAAAGAAAAAGCCTTCCCTCACTTCTTGTCTCTTCTGCTGGAGACTCCTAGAAATGGGTTTAAGGAGAAGTAGGTGGCAGTCTGCTATGTATGATTCTAGAGTAGGGGATCCCGGGGCCTCCATCTCTTTCTCCATTTTCCAGTTTTCCAGATACCCCTGCCTGTCTGAACACCTTGGTGAAAGAAACGATGGACTTTTGGGAGAAATGCTAGAATTGTACAGGTGGTTTTAAAATAATTTGCCTCTGTCTCTTCCTTTTTATTTTTTCTGCCTCCCTTTTACACCCTGCCCATTTCAGTGCTGGGGAGGCCCTAGGCTCTGCTTGCCAGATCATGGGTCTCTAGATCTAGCACAGCAGGTACTGGGACCCTTGTCTTAGATGCTGGCATGTAACAGCACTCAACACTTACCTTCCCCTTTTTGTCTATTTGTTCCTAGGTCTTCCCATAGGCTTACAGTTGGGCTGTTTACCACTGGAAGCAAGAGAAAGGGGGACATTGGCCTGGAACTCTGAAGGTTGGTGTGAAGGTAAGCAATGCCTGGTGATAACAAGAGGGTGAGCACAGAAGATGATCAAGACTTGAGAGGGTCTCAGAGGAGGGTACTTCTGCCTCTCCTACACTGTCAGATTTCCACAGTGTTGCCACATTCCTTGGTGATTTCTGTGCTGGAAACAGGAGGAATAGTGGGATAGGGGTGGGCTAGAATGTGACTGAGAAGATTTAAGAGGAGGGATCACAAGATGGGACACATTAGCAAACTGGACATGGGCTCTGGCAATGACAAGTCTGGTACTGGGATAAGTGAACAGGGCATTTATCTGTTCTATGAGGACTTAGTGTCTATTACCCCCTGTTTGTTTACTTGTCCATAGATCTGCCTGCAGTTCTGCTGTAGGGCTTGAGATTACTGGAAGCAAAGAAACAAGGAGGAAATTGCCTCTGATCGGTATAGACTGGTAAGAGGATGGGAAATAACTGTAGTCCTCCAGGGTGGGTTGGTGGAGATTAGTGTGCATCCAGTAGGGTCAGTGTCCAGTCTGGAGTATCCTCAGCCTTTCCCTTTGCCAGCCACCTTTCCCCCATGTCTGTCACTTACCCCCACAATCTTACTTTTCTTTACCAAAAGAGAGTGGGGTGAACTGAGTGACATAGAAAGGTAGTTTGATAATATGCCTGTCACATCAATAACAAAATCTCCAGTCCCATCTGTCCCTCCATCTGTCTGTCTGTCTCTAGGTCTACAGATCTCATGAGTTTATAGATCTACTTTAGGGTATATCACCAACCAAGAGAAGGAAAGAGGAGGGAACTGCCTTGATCATTACAGGTTGGTATGAGAGTGGGGACCTCTGGGAGTGGTGACAAGAGTAGGTCCAGTAGAAATCAAGGTCTGATGGCTTCTTAGTCTCTTCCATTCATAGTCAGTGCCACATTCCAACATCTTTCCCATTATTCATTTAGTGTAAGGAAATGTGTATGGATGTACCTTAGGGGAAAATTGTTGGGTACTGGGGAAAATGGGGAGGGGAGAAAATAAAAGGGATGGAGAGAGTTTGCTCATCATTCTCTTCTCCCACCAAGCACATCATTTCTATACTTTCCTGTCCTTCTGTGTATCTATCTGTATGATGCACAAAATTAGAAGAGAAATTTTAGTCCATTTCCTTCCTCCACTTCTAGGTCCACCTCCAGTGGCAGCTGTAGTGGCCTTTAAGTGGCTGAAGACCAGCGCCCTCACAGGCCTACACCCAGACCTACTACCCTCTTTCCCAATCCTGATTGAGATCCCTGTACCTTGTTCGTGCCTTCAATAGGGGTGATTACATGGGTCGCATTCAGGATGTGGGTTTGGTGACTGCAGGACTGGTGATCTGGGCTGGTACCTGCTACTACATTTACAGATTAACCAAAGGAAGATCCCAGAGAGTGAGGAAATTTGCCAGAAATGGGTCCAGAGTCAAGATGGAGACTGTGGTTGGGGTACAGAACCAGACCTTTGCCATGAGTGAAGCCATGGCTGGGTCAGAGACTGAGACTAGACCCATGGCCAAGACTGGAGCAGAAACTGGAGCAGAAGGTAGGGTTGGGGCTGAAGTAGAGACTACCACCACTGCTAAAGCCAGACCCAAAGCCAACTCTCAGGCCAAAACAATGGTTGAGGCAGAGGCAGAGAACCAGTCTGAGGCCAAAATAGTGGCCACAATAGTGGGCATGACAGAGGCAGTGACTCTTAATGAGGCCCAGGTCAGAGCTGGGGAAGTGGCCATGAAAGAGGCAGTGACCCAAACTGACTCTGAGGCTGGGAGAGTAGTCAGGAAGGAGGCTGTGACCCAAACTAAGGCTAAAGCTTTGGCACTGGTTGCCAGAGCAGAGACCAAGAGAGAAGTAATGACCCAGATGAAAGTGGAAGCTCGTTTACTGGCTGAAAAAGAAGTGAACAAAGTAATGGTGACACAGAGTGAGACCTTGGGAGTGACCAGGGAAGCGGCCAAGATGAGTGCCATAAATAAGACTGGAATTATGGCTCAGACCAAGGCAAGAGTCCTGGAAGAGACTGTGAGTGTGGCCAAAACTCAGTCTGAGGCCAGGCCTGGTAACATAGTTGATGCTAAGGGAAATCCTAATACCATGTCCAGGGCAGAAGCTGGAGTGGACATGAAGTCTTGTGAACCATCTCAAACTGTGGCCAAGATCCAGGTTGACAGCATGCCTGGTGCTGGGGTTGAGGCCAAGGGCAATCACAAAACCACGTCACAGGCAGAGTCTAGGGCAGACATGAGGGCCTCTACCCAGCCTCAGATTATAGCCAAGACCCAGGGGTCTTTGCTAGGGACAAAGTTTGATGCTGGGGGTAAAACCAATGTTGTGTGTAAGGCAGGGACAGGGGCAGATATAAGAGTTTCTACACAACCTGAGACTGTGGCCAAGAAACAGGCTGAGGCGATGTTTGGGGCCAGGGTTGATCACAGAGGAAATACCAATGTCACATCTAAGGCAATGACTGGAGCTGACATGAAGGTTGCTGCTCAACCTCAAGCTGTAGCCAGTACTCAGGCTGAAGCTATGCCTGATGCCAGAGTTAAAGGTAGAGGCAATTCCAATGCTATATCTAAAACAGGGGTCACGGCAAACTTGAGGGCCAATTCCCAGGCTGAAGCCTTGCCTGATGCCAGGGTTAAGACCAGAGACAATCCCAATGCCATGTCTAAGATGGGGGCTGGGACAGACACTGAGCTCTATACACAGCCTCAGGCTATGGCCAATGTCCAGGTTGCTGTGTTGCCTGATGGCAAGATTAAGGCTAAAAGGAATGTCAACACAATGTTTAAGGAAGGGGGTGGGACAGACACAAAGGCACAATCTCAGGCTTCAAATAAGAGCCAGGTTGAGATTTTACCTGGTACTAGAGGTAAGGCTAGGGGGAAAGCCAAAAGCAAGTGTAAAGCAGAGGTCGGGATAGAAATGAAAGCCTGTGAACAGCTTAAGGTTGGGGTCAAGACCCAAGCTGATGTTTTACCTGATTTCAGGGTTGATGGCAGAGATGATCCTAATGCCATTTCTTGGTCAGAGACTAAGGCAGAACTGAGAGCCTATGGTCAGCCTCAGACTATGGCCAATTCCCAGGGTGAAGCCTTGCCTGGTGTCAAGAATAAGGTTTGGGGCAATTCCAATGTTATATCTAAGTCACGGGCTGGGCCAGATACAATGGGCTCTTCCCAGCTCCATGTTGTAGCCAATTTCCAGGATGATGCCTCATCTAATACTAAGAATAAAGTCAGGGGCAATCCCAAAGCTATGTCTAAAGCAGGGACTGGGCCAGATTCAATATGTTCTGCCCAGCCTGAAACAGATACAACAGGCTCTGCCCAGCCCCAGGCTGTGACCAATTCCCATGGTGAAGCCTCATCTGGTACTAAGAATAAGGTCAGGGGCAATCCCAGTGCTGTGTCTAAGACAGCAGCTGAGCCAGATACAATAGGCTCTGCCCAGTCTGAGGTGTCTAATTCCCAAGGTGAAAACTTGCCCAGCACTAAGGATAAGGTCAAGGGCAAGTCCAATGCTGTGTCTAAGGCAGGGGCTGGGCCAAATACAGTGGGCTCTGCCCAACTCCAGTCTGGGACCAATTCCCAGGGTGAAGACTTGTCTGCTACTAAGAATAAGGTCAAGGGTAATCCCAGTGCTGTGTCTAAGGCAGAGGCTAAGGCAGATGCAATAGGTTTTGCCCAGCCTCAAACAAATACAATAGGTTCTTCCCAGCCCCTGACTGTGGCCAGTTCTCAGAGTGAAGCCCCGCTTGATATCAAGAATAAGGCTAGGTGCAAGTCCAGTGGTATGTCTAAGACAGGGGCTCAGCTAGATGCAGGGGACTCTGTCCAGCCTCAGGTTGTGGCCAATTCCCAAGGTGAAGTCTTGCATGGTACTAAGAACAAAGTCAAGGGCAATTCTAAAGCTGTGTCTACATCAAGCACTGGGCCAGATACAGTGGGCAGTGCCCAGCTCCAGGCTGTGACCAATGCCCAAGTTGAAGCCTTGTCTCGTCCTAATAATAAGGTCAGGGGCAATTCCAGTACTGTGTCTAAGACAGAGGCCAGGGCAGATGAAATGGGCTCTGCCCAGCCTCAAAGAGATACAACAGGTTCTGCCCAGCCCCTGGCTGTGGCCAATTCCCAGGGTGAAGCCTTGCCTTATACTAAGAACAAGGTCAAAGGCAATTCCAGTGATGTGTCTAAATCAGGATCTCGGCCAGATACAGTGGGCTCTACCCAGTTCCAGGCTGTGGCCAATGCCCAGGTTGAAGCGTTGTCTGGTACTAAGAACAAGGTCAGGGTCAATCCCAGTGCTGTGTCTAAGGCAGTGGCTAAGGCAGGTACAATGGGCTCTGCCCAAACTCTAACAGATACAAGCTCTGCCCAGCCCCTGGCTGTGGCCAATTCCCAGTGTGAAAACCTGTGTGGTACTAAGAGCAAGGTCAGGGGCAATCCCAATGCTTTGTCTAAAGCAGGGACTGGACCAGATATAGTGGGTCATGTCCAGTCTCAGATTGTGGCCAATTCCCAGGGTGAAGTCTTGCCTAACACTAAGAACAAGGTTAGGGGAAATTCCAATGCTGTATCCAAGACAGGGGCTGGGCCAGATATAGTGGGATCTGCCCAGCTCCAGGCTGTGGCCAATGCCAAGGGTGAAGCCTTGTCTGGTCCTAAGAATAAGGTCAGAGGCAATCCTAGTGCTGTGTCTAAGACAGAGGCCAGGGCAGATGCAATGGGCTCTGCTCAGCTTCAAACAGATATAACCTGTTCTGCCCAGCCCCTGGCTGTGGCCAATTCCCAGGGTGAAGCCTTGCTTGGTAACAAGAGTAAGGTTAGGGGCAATACCAATGCTTTGTCTAAAGCAGAGAATGGATCACATATAGTGGGTTCTGCCCAGCCGCATATTATGGCTAATTCCCAGGGTGAAGTTTTGCCTGGTACTAAGAACAAGGTCAGAGGAAATTCCAATCCTGGGTCTAAGACAGGGGCTGGGCCAGGTACAGTGGGCTCTGCTCAGCTGCATGCTGTGGCCAGTTCCCAGTGTGGGGCCTTGCCTTGTATCAAGCATAAGGTCAAGGGCAATCCCAGTGCTTTGTCTAAAGCAGGGACTGGGCCAGATCCAGTGGGCTCTGACCAGCTCCAGACTGTGGCTGATTCCCAGTATGAGGCTTTGCCTGGTGTGAAGAACAAGGTCAGCAGTCATCCCAATGCCATGTCTAAGGTAGGGGCCAGAGCAGATACAACAAGCTTTGCCCAGCCTCAGGCTGAGTCTAATTCCCAGGGTGAAGCCTTGTCTGGTGCCAGGAGTAAGGTCCAAGGCAATCTCAGTGTTCTGTCTAAATCAGACACTGAGCAAGGTATAGTGGGCTCTGCCCAGCCCCAAGCTGTGACCAATTCCCAGGATGAAGCCCGGTCTGGTACTAAGAATAAGGTCAAGGGCAATCCCAATGCTGTATCTAAAGCAGAGGCCAGTGCAGATATAACAGGTTCTGCCTGGCCCCAGGTGGTGGCCAATACCCAGAGTGAAGCCTTGTCTGGTATTAAGAATAAGGTCAGGGTCAATTCCAATGCTGTGTGTAAGGCAGAGGCCAGACCAGATACAATGGGCTCTGCCCAGCCTCAAACAGTTACAACAGGCTCTGCCCAGCCCCAAGCTGTGACCAGTTTCCAGGGTGAAGCTTCATCTTGTACTAAGAATAAGGTGTGGGGCAATCTTAGTGCTGTGTCTAAAGCAGGCATTGGGCCAGATACAATGGGCTGTGCTTGGCCCCAGGCTCTGGACAATTCCCAAGGTGAAGCCTTGCTTAGCATCAAGAATAAGGTCAGAGGCAATCCCAATGCTGTGTCTAAGGTAGAGGCCAAAGCAGATACAACAAGCTTTACCCAGCCTCAGGCTGTGTCTGAGTTCCAAGGTGAAACCTTGCCTGGTGCCAGTAGGGTCCAGGGCAATCCCAGTGCTATGTCTAAGGCAGGCACTGGGCCAGATACAATGTGTTCTTCTCAGCCTCAAACAGATATAATAGGCACTGCCCAGTCCCAAGCCAAGTCTAATTCTCAAGGTGAAGCCTTGTCTGGTGCCAGAAATAAGGTTAAGGACAATCCCTATGCAGTATTTAAGGCAGGGGCTGGGCAAGATAGAATAGGCTCTCTTTCACCCCAGGCTGTGGCCAGTTATCAGGGTGAGGCCTTGCTTGGTGCCAAGAGTAAGGTCAGGGGAAATACCAATGCTGAGCCTAAGGTAGAGGCTTGGACACATAGGATGGGCTCTGGTCAGCCTCAGTCTGTGGCCCATTCCCAGAATAAGATCTTGCCTGAGGCAAAGGACAAGGCTATACTGAAGTCTGAGGTAGAAGCCACAGAAGATGAAGGCTATGCAAAACCTAAGACTGAAACCATACTCATTTCTGAGAGTGGCAGTGGGACAGGCACTCAGGCCTACAGAAAAACTCAGCCTAGGGTCCATGACTATTACTGGAATGGGATTGGTATTGAGGATTGGATTGCTTCTGAGCGATGGATCAAATTTAGGTTTCAGGCCAGGGATGGATACTGGGAGAATAGCATGTCCTGGGCTGATGATGAGAATGAAACCAGTCTCGAGTCCTGGAGTGGGGCTAGTGATAAGTCTGATATTAAGTCTTGGGCTGGGGCTAAGGCTGAGAATGAAGTTGGTTTTCCTTCTTGGGCTGAAGCTGGGGACCAGGCTTGTGGGGGACTCTGGGTTGGGAGTCAGGCCAGTGAAGAGTCCTGGGCTGGGAGCAAGGCCAGTAGGGGAGATTCTTTGTCAGAGGTTAGGGACATGGCCATTGGAGGGTCTTGGATTGGAGCTCAGAACCAGGCCAGTGTGGGATCTTGGGCTAGTACTGGGAACCAGGCTATTGGTGAACCCTGGGCTAGAAGTCAGGCCAGTGCCGTGTCCTGGGCTGGGGAAGATGCCATTGGAGGGTCCTGGACTACAGCTGAGGAACAGGCCAGTGGAAGATCTCAGGATGGGGCTAGGATCCAGGCTAATGGAGGGTCTTGGGCTGAACCTATAGCTGGGAATGTGGCTAGCATTGCGTACTGGGTTGGGGATATGGACCAGGCTAGTGAAAGGTACTGGATTGGGAACAGTAATCTGTCTGGTGGGTCCAAGCCTAGATTTGAGGATCAGGCCAGTGGAAATGTATCCTGGGTTGTGGCTGGTGGCCAGTCCAGTGGAGGGTCTAGGCTCGGGCCTGAGGATCAGTCTGGTAGAAAGTACTGGGCTGACACTGCTGACCAAGCCAGTGGAGGGTCCAGGATGAGGCCTGTGGACCATTCTGGGGGTAGGTCCTGGGCTAGGGCTGTGGAACAGGCCAACAAAGGGTCTAGGCCAGGGTGTGTGGACCAGTCGAGTGTTGGGTCCTGGGTTAGCACTGGCAACCAGGCCAGTGGAGGATTCTTGGTTGGGACTGTGGACCAGGCCAGTGGGGATTCCTGGGTTGGGACTGGTGATGAGTCTGGCGGTGAGTCCAAACCTAGATTTCAGGATCTGGTAAATGACGAAGAGTCTTTGGTTAGGGCTGTTGGCCAGGCTGGTAGAGGGCCCAGGTTGGGGCCTCAGGACCAGTCCAGTGGAAGGTCCTGGGCTGACTCTGGGGACCAAGCCAGTGGAGGGTTCCTGGTTGAGGCTGTGGACCAGGGCAATGGAGGGTCCTGGGCTGTACTTGGTGATCAGGCCGGTGGTGGGGCAAAGCCTAGATTTGAAGAGGAGGCAAGTGGAAGAGGGTCTTGGGCTGACAATGGGGGACAGGCTGGTGGAGGCTCTAGGCTAGGTCCCAGGGACAAGTCAATTGGAGATTCCTGGGCTGGCACTGGGGACCAGGCCAGTGAAGAATCCAGGCCAGGGCCCAAAGATCAGTCCAATGGATGGTTCTGTGCTTGCAGTGGGAGTCAGGCTAATGCAAGAGGGTCCTGGGGTGGGGGTGGTGGCCAGCCTGTTGGAAGATCTAGACTAGGGCCCATGAACCCATCCAGTGGTGGTTCCTGGGCTGATACTGGGAGTCGGGTCAGTGGAGGGTCTTGGCCTGGGGCTGGAGATCCAGCTAGTACCTGTCCCAAACCTGGATTTGAGGATCAGGCCAGTGGAGGAGGGTTCTGGTCTGGTGCTAAGGACCAGGTTGTTGGAGGGCCTAATCCAGGGCATGCAGACCAGTCTAGTGGTGGATCCTGGGCTGGCACTAGGAGTCAAGCCAGTGGAAGGTCCTGGGCTGGGTCTGGGGATCAGGCTGATAGCTATTCTGAACCTGGATTTGAGGACCTGTTCAGTGGAGAAGTCTCCCAGGCTGGCACTGGGGATCAGGCTAGTGGAAAATCTTGGCCTGGGTTGAGGCCTGATAATGAGGCCAGTAGAGGATGTAGGCTGGGGTCTGAGGACCAGGCAAGTGGAGGGTCCTGGACTAGGGCTGGTGACCAGACCAGTGGAAGACCGCAGGTTAGTGCTGAGATGGAGGCCAAAGAAAGATCCTGGTTTGGGACTAGAGGTGAGACTACTACAGGGTCCTGGGTCAGGAGAAGGGAAGAGGCTGGTATTGTGTCAAAACTTGGAGGCAAAAATGAGGCCAGTATTGAATCCAGATCAGGGGCTAAAGAAGAGGCCAATATTGGGTCCTGGACCAGATCTGAAGAGGCAGCCTGTGTGGATTCCTGTGTGGGGGCTGAGGCTGGGGCTGGGACTGAGGCAGAGGCTAGGAAGGAGTCTTGGCTCTGGGATGGAGATGCAGCCACCACAGAGTCTAGGCTTGGGGGTGAGGAAGAGGCTTGCATGGGATCCTGGACTTTGTCTGAGGAGGTAGATGAGGATGAGCTAAGTAGAGCCTCTAGCCCTGATATTGAGGAGATCAGTTTAAGGTCCTTGTTTTGGGCTGATAGTGAGAAGAGTAATGAGTTCAGATCCAAGAGTGAAAGAGATGTGTATTTTGAGTGTGGAGCTGGAGATAAGGCCAGTGCCAAGGATAACCTTGAGGTTGTTGGTGGAACTGATGTAAGGTCTTGGTTCTGGAATAGTAATGAGAACAGAAGTGAGGACAAATCTGCACCTAAAACTAAAGCCAAAAAGTCAGCTGAGTCAAGAGGCACATATCCATCCATGGTCCCTGGGGCAGGAATGGGGTCATGGGCAGGAGCCATGATCTGGACGGAAATGAAATTTCCATACCAAAGTGAGTCCTGCTTCCCACCTGAAGATGAGCTCAGAAAACAGATCAGGTGTGAGGAGAAAACTCAGCCCTGGACCTGTCGCTGTAAACGTGAAGCTAATATGGATCCACGAGAGCTTGAAAAACTCATTTGCATGATTGAGATGACTGAAGATCCTTCTATTCATGAAATAGCCAATAATGCTTTATATAACAGTCTCGATTATTCATTTTCCCATGAAGTCATTCGTAATGCAGGTAGAATATCAATTATTGAAAGCTTACTCAATAATCCCTATCCCAGTGTTAGGCAGAAGGCTTTAAATGCACTGAATAACATCTCAGTGGCTGCTGAAAATCATAGGAAGGTGAAAACATACTTAAACCAAGTATGTGAAGACACAGTTACCTATCCCTTGAATTCAAATGTGCAGCTGTCTGGACTAAGATTGATAAAACATTTGACTATTATTAGTGAATATCAGCATATGGTTACAAATTATATTTCAGAATTTCTTCGTTTGTTAACTGTGGGAAGTGGAGAAACTAAAGACCATATTTTGGGAATGCTTTTGAATTTCTCTAAAAATCCATCTATGACAAAAGACTTACTCATTGCCAATGCACCAACATCACTGATTAATATCTTTAACAAGAAAGAGACAAAAGAGAATATTCTTAAAGCTCTTTCACTATTTGAAAATATAAATTACCATTTTAAAAGAAGAGCAAAAGTATTTACCCAGGACAAGTTCAGTAAAAACTCCCTTTATTTCATATTCCAACGACCCAAAGCATGTGCCAAGAAACTTCGAGTCTTAGCAGCAGAATACAGTGACCCTGAGGTGAAAGAAAGAGTTGAGCTATTATTAAACAAACTCTGATTAGTTATATGTTTCCAAACAAATCTGAGTAATGTTTTGGTTTTGCAGCCTGGAGGTAATGCACATTGTAAATTGCATCATAACTTCGAAACTGATGTTACTTATGATGGTCTATAGCTGGATCACTTTATGAACACCAAATGAATTCAAACTTGTACTGAAAATATATGTGTTGATTATTACCTTGTCTGGATCAAGATATTTTTAGTATGCTTCATGAGCAGAAACTGACCTGATTCTTCATAACTAAGGTAATTTTTGGTCCTTTGTGTGGACTTATGTTTATACATTTGAGGCTTTATTTTTTATGTTATCAATAAAGTTGTGTGTTTTAAGCAGAAAAAAAGAGACACATCTTTGTCCTTGAGTTTATGATCTATCTGGAAAGGCAAGATGTATGGAAAGAAAAATATATTACAAAACCACGAGCGTCTGATCATGGCCAAACCCTTCCCAACAGTGCAGAAACTTCTGCAGGCAACAGTGATCAGGGAAAATTTTACAGAGGAGGGAGACACTTAAATAAGCTGGGCTTGAGGGATAGGATAAAAATGGGGTGGGAGAGCATTTGGAGGAGGGAGGAGCGGTGGGAAGAAAGGCATTGAGGTGGGAATCCTGCTCCAGAGAGGAGGTTGGCCTGCTTGGAGTTCTAAGTGTGAGGAGAGTGATGGGAAATGTAATCCATCAGTTTGGGTGAGCCCCTTCATGGAGGATCCCTGATTGCTAAACTGAGGTGTCTTAATGTTACTCCATCCACCCTGGGAGACCCCAAAACCTTCTGTGACCAAAGGAATGAGTATGAAAGGTAAAGAGTGTAGCTGATCTGTGTGCAGAATGGGTCAGAGTTGGGGTGGAGACAGGAGGGGCCACTGAAGATTGGAAGTTACTGCCATGGTCCAGGTATGAGATGATAAAATTTTGAGACTTCACTACTGGCCATGGGAATGGCAAGGGGAGGAAGGAAGTGAGACTCTTTGAACAAAGAAATGATGGAACTTATCTTGAGGGCATACATAGAGGGATAATTTTATTTTAGGGTCCTGGTGGCATTTAATAGGAAAACATTCTCTTTGTTGGCTAACTCTGGTGTCTGTGTAAGTAAATACATTACATATTATTCTGAAATAATAAAATATAATAGAAGAAAGAACAATGTTTAGTGCTTCTATTAGATTTCTTTTAGAAGGTTGGTTGAGGCAGGGCCTTTATGGAACCACTGAGAATGGTGTTGGTATCAATACTGAAAAATATCCACCTTTCTCCTACCCCAGATTGTGGTGGGGGTGTGGTGGGAGGGGCTCAAACTGTGCTGGTGGGAGCATACACTGATACAAGGTCCATTTGGATACATGTTTCAGAGGCTTTAAGATGCACATGCTCTTTGACCCAGTAATTCCACTTGTAGAAATTTATCTATAGAAAATGATCAAATAATTGGGTTGTACAAAGCTGTGCATCCTCATGGTGTTTTAAAGAGTGAAAAACTGTGAATGACCCAAGTGTCTCAAAATAGGCACTTGGCTAAACAAATTAGGGTGTGTCTACATATTGAAACATCTTCCAGCTATTGAAAATTGTGATCATTCAGCATTTAATCTTAAGTGGGAAAAATAGACTGCAAAAGCACATGCTATACTTTTTATAGAGTAAAAGAATATATTTAAATTATGTCCTATATAAACTTTGGTGTATACTCTGAGAATGTTAATAGTGTCCTATGGGTGTTAGATTAATGAGCAATTTTATCTGTTTTTTGCTCATCTGTATTTTCTGATTTTTATATGCACCACAAATTTTTGCATGACTTACCAAAATGAAATGGGTGGATTTGGGCTAAGCAGACCTGTCAATAGTATATCAGGGAACTAGAGAAAAATTATAAATAGAGGCTCACATATTGATGTCTAGATATTTGGAAGGTATAAATTAAAATTTTAAATAAATATTTAAATAAAGCTATAAATGCAAGTGTAAATGTTTGAAAATTTAAATCTTCTTAACCATTTAAAAAGTAAAACTGTTCTGAATTCTATTATTCAATGGCCACTAAATATCTAGTGGAAAAAATGATGTCACATTTGTGGTAGATTCTGCAGTCTGTTGCTCTAATCCTCCTTCAGGAATAAAGAAGTTGTGATTTATTTGCTAGGAGAGCTGCCAGCAGACAGCCCTCAGCTGTCGTCCCCTTTCAGGAATTGTCTCAGCTGGGAAGTCACCTCCCACAAGGTCACCCTCTTCCTGGGGTACTTCCATCCAATGGCTGATTGACATGGCCTTCTTGCCTCAAATGGGACAGCTAAACTTCTCCCTCTGTCCAATCCTGCTTCCTTCTTTTCCCTTCCACAGATTTTGATCTCAAGAGATCCCTAATAAAAGCTCTCCATGCTGAACTCTGAGTCTGCTCTCCAGGAAGCCAACCTACAACAGTTGGTATGAGGAGTAGTTCAGGAAGGCAAACACTGTGATGAAATTTTGAAGATGAATCACCTGCTGCCCAGCTGGCAAGGAGGACCCCATCACTGATGGTAGGTGGAGTAGATAGGAACCTGGAACAGGTGGCAGAGGAATTGTCAGCGTTTTCAGTGATGGTGAACTGGGATGGCACTGGTGGAAGGGGATGCATTAGCTAGTTCTATGTAGCACATTTTTGAGAAATATGTGGGAAATATTAAATATAAAGAAGGCCAGAAAATTGTATAGCTATTTCTATGCTTGATTGACTTCTAGAAAAAAATAATGAAAAGTCGAATTAAATTATTCAGCAATTAAATGCTATATGTGAAAGCCAGAAAGTTTCATTCATAGCATATAAAGAGGCCCTCTTCTTTCCTAGGTAGAAGATAAAGAAATATTAGGACAAGGCCTAGGATTTATTGAAAGCAAGCTTCAAAGAAAGTTAAAATCCCAACCAAGACAAGTCTGCAATTCTAGTTAGGAAGGAATGGGATCCTGACACATGGGATGGGGACTTATGGACTGATATTCCTGAAAATCTTGTAACCTCAGATTTCCCTGGACACCTTGAGCATTCAGAAGTGTCCCACTCCTTCCTATTTAGGGCTAGTGCTTCACCTTACTTAAACATGCAGTGTCCTTTCTCCCTTAAGGTGATGTGTATTTCCTTCAGAATCTGCCCCACTTCTCATCCTGGCCACTGGGCCTATATATAGGGTTAAGTCACAGCATAACCTCCCTGGAGTGTGCTGGGCCTAAGAAGAAGGAAGGAAAGGGAATACCCCAAGAAGTAGCTATAGGACCTAGCAAGCATGTACTAGCAGATGCTGAGGGGGAAGCATGGGACTAAATTCTGAGGGCCTTGATTAGGGGAGATGGAATATAAAATTGAATAAAGGAAAAGTTAATAGTATTGAGAGTTATCTCCCAAGATACAGTATTTAACACCCCAAGAAAGACCCCAGGAGATTGTGTGAACTCACTACTAGAATGGCAACTCAAAGTATGGAAAAAGGAATTAAGTGAGGTTTAAATGCCAGAGTCGTCATAGCAGATGGTGGGGAAAGGGTTAAAGACTCAGGCAAGTGTGAATAATAGAATAAATATATAATTTATGTCCAGAAAACCCTCTGGAGGACTATGTTCTGCAGGAGGACCCAAAGAGCACACTATTTGCTGGAGCTATAAAGAATGCACTGGTGAGAGGAGCAGCAGTATCACTAAGAAGTTCAGGGGTGGCTTGCCTCTGCAGGCCACGGCTCAGAATAGGAGAGGATGTTACAGGATGAGGAACACTGATAGAAATGGTGATAGTTCAGGGTGCTCTGGTGGCTCAGTTGGTTGAGTGTCCAACTCTTCGTTTCATCTCAGGTCATGATCTCACGGTTTGTGTGATTGAGCCCTGAGTTGGGCTCTGCACTGACAGTGTGGAGTCTGCTTGAGATTCTCTATCTCCCTCTCTCTCTCTGCACTTCCCCCATTCGAGCATGCATGGTCTCTCTCTCTTTCTCTCTCTCTCTCTCAAAATAAATAACATAAACATTAAAAAAAAAAAAGAAAAAAGAATTGGTGATGTCTCTGAAACAGTAGAGGCAGGATGACTGCACATAACCATCAGAAGTCATGTGGATGCAAATACCATAATGTGCTGCAGGGTCAGAGTGATAGGCAGGGAGGCCTGATCTGCAGAGAGCTGTGGAGATAATTTATAGAACACAGTGCCCTGGGGAAAATAAGAAGCCAACAATCTGTGCTGAATGTGAGCAACCAAAAGAAATCAAAGATGGTCAGAGTTCTGAGGGACAGTGATAAAAAGTCACAATTCCTTGCTCAGCTTCTGACCCTAACTCAGTTTTTGATCCAGAGTGCATTGTTTGAAGGAGAGGCTGGGTGCCCAGGAAGAAGCCTACAACATTAGTAATGATTTCTCTGGTCCTTCTATTTATGCATGCAGCTGTATGCAGGGGAAAGAGGAATACTCAAATATTTTGAGGACTGGTGTACACTAGTTATGAGTTGATATACCCAGAGACCTAAAATGTCAACATGTTATCCTTCTTAGAATAAGGACAGATGGGAACCTGGTATTAATGGACTCCTGGCCTATGGTGGATTCACAGTGGCTCAATTGGGTCCACAAAACTACCTGATGGTTACTTTCCTGGTCTCTGAATATATAATTGGAATAGAAATTTTTGTAGTTGATATAAGCCCTACATTGGTTTCTTGGCCTGTGGAGTCAGAGCTGTTTGTAGATGAAAAGTAAAGTTTTTGAGACTGCCTTACCTTCCTTGGCCAAGATAATAAACGAAAACATATAGCATCTTGGGGAAGATGGCAGAAGTTAGTACCACTGTTAAAGACCTAAAGAATGCTTGGATGTGGTCCTCATTATATCTACATTTAATGCACCAATTTGGACCCCTGCAAAATATGGGCAGAGTCTAGTAGATGACTGTAGACAATTGAAAACCCAACCAGATAGTGATACAAGTGCAGCTACCATGTCAGATACAATATCTTTGCTAGAGCAGAATAACATGACCTTAGGTACCTTTTAATTAGCTATTGGTTTGGAAAATGTAGTTTTCTATCCCTATCAGAATAAAACATCAGAAAAAGTTCATGTTCATGTAGAACAGAGAACATTATACATTTGTAGTTTTTCCTCAAAGGCCTACTAACTTTCCTGTCCTCTGTCATATTATAGTCTGAAGATAGCTGGACCCTCTGAATATAACACTAGTTTGCTATATTGATGACATCATGCTAATGGGACCAAAATGAGTAAGAAACGGTTAGCACATTAGAGGCCTTGGTAAGACACGTGTACTCCACATGATGGGGGATAAACCCTACAAAGATCCATGGGCTGGCTAC